CAGGAAGTAGCTCTTTCTGTCGAGCGCCTTCGCCAGGTGACTCGCTAGCACCGTCATGACGCCCGCGATCGTCATCTCCAGCCGGAGCAGGAGGTGGAGGCAGAGGATGATGATGATGATGATGATGATGATGATGATGATGATGATGAGGATGAGGATGAGGATGAGGATGATGATGATGATGATGATGATGATGATGATGATGAGGATGAGGATGAGGATGATGATGATGATGATGATGATGCTGATGATGATGATGAGGAGGAGGAGGAGGAGGAGGAGGAGGAGGAAGAGGAGGAAAAGGAGGATCATAGGACGAACGGGGGAGGAGGACGAGGGGGAGGAGGACCAGAGTAAACCCTGTCTTCAACGATGTTGCAATGACATTTCCCTCCAAGCTCCCTCTTCATGTGCACTTGAATGGGCTCATTCCCGCTGAAGGAATTGCCTCGTTGGGAGACAACCGCTTGAAGACCCTGAAGCGTGCCCAAACACCGTTCTCGGTACTCCAGTGCCACGAATCAGCTTGACTGTTGCGTCTTGGCGATTCAGAATCGCGTCAGAAAACCATTCCTGGGACGTCAACACCGCGAATCAATGTAGCTGGTGCGCCATCATATTCCAGAGTCCTTCCAACATATTTTTCTGGTACGTTGAACATGGGGATCCGTGAACTGTTTGCAAATGTTTAAGACGAGTGTGCGCGGTGCTGAGGCGAGAGCCACATCTTGAACAGGACCAACCCTTAAGCAGTGAACCCCTTGCAGTGTTTTGCAATGAGTGTGCGCGGCGCTAGAGCGAGAGCCACATTTTGTAAGCCACCCGCCCTCAACCCGTGAACATTTTGCAAATGTTTAAGAGAGTGTGCGCGGCGCTGAGGCGAGGGCCACATTTTGAACACCACTTCCTTATAATCCGTGAAGCTCTTGCACATGTTTAAAACGAATGTGCGCGGCGCTACTGCGAGAGCCACATTTTGAGAACGACCCGCCCTCAATCCGTGAAACTCTTGCGAAGTTCGAGAACGAATGTGCCCCGCGCTAAGGCGAGAGCAACATTTTGAAAACCACCCGCCCTCCGTCAGTGAAACTGTTGCCAATTCTCAAGCTTCAGAGTCACAAGTGATGAGGAAGTCTCAGGCGAAACGCCCGGCCCGCCCTCAACTTTGGCCTCGGGGTGCGACAGGGAGAAGTTATTTATAAGAAAAAGGAAGGGAGGAGGAGGAGGAGGAGGAGGAGGAGGAGGAGGAGGAGGAGGGCATTAGGGCATTAGGGCATTAGGGCCTTAGACGAAAGTCTCTCGCATCCAGCGACCCAATTACGTAATAATCGGGCTCTTCGGGCTCTTCACTTTTTCTTTCTCGTCTTTTTTTTTTCCCTCTTTTTCCTTTTTTTTTTTCCTTTGTCTTTCTTTCCCTTCTTGCCTTTTTTCTTTTTTTTTTTCCTGCCATTTTGTTTTTATCTTTTCTTTTTTTTTCTTTTTGTTTCGTTTTTTTGCTCCTTTTTCCTTTCCTTTGTTCTTGTTTCCGTTTTTATTTTTCTGTTCCTTTTTTCCCTTATTTTGCCTTTGCCTCTCCTCTTTTTGCACTCGTTCCTGCCAGCTGGAAGCCGAGCTCTCTGGTACCAGATCCAAGCGGCAGGAACAAAAGCGTAAACCGCACTGCGGTGGGGGGCGCTGGGAAAAAGACGTTGTTTGTGTAACTGCGCAACTCGATACATATCAAGGGCCTCGGGGAAAACCAACCCGTACACTGGGGCAGGGTCGCAACTCCGCTCCGAGGCCTCTTGAGGGACCGCCAGTCTCCCTTCCCACAACGCTCGGACCTCCTCAGAAGGCTCAGCACAGTCGCCGAGCATCGGGGGAGGGGACACCGTTGAATTAGGGTGCAGGCCTCTACGGAGCCTAGACCTTTGGGTCGCCAGACCAGGGTGCTTGGGCCCCAAACATGGCCACGCAAGGCCCTTGCCTGGCCTGTGGCTGTGTTGCACACTCGCGCCGCACGATATGCAGAACAAAACTGGGGCCCCTGAAACATCTCCGACAACAGGGGCCTGCACGACATTGTGCCTCGAAAACTTCCAAGTCTGGCAACTCACCCGCTCCATCCCCGAGATGTGGGGCACCAGGTCGGGAGGAGCAGCCGAGGAGCCAATGGAGGAGCCAAGAGCAGCAGAACCAGAGCCAACCGAGCCCTGACTGCTATCTGGATAGAGACGAGCGGGCACGGCCTCGAGGATCCGCTCCCGCGACCGCAGCTCTAGCTGCGCGTCATACTCGTTGGCGATGTCAGGCGGGACATCCTGACCTGCAAGATCAAGCACCACCTCCGAGGTCCCGCCCACCCCCTCCGAGTCCACGAACCCTCTATCATGGAGCCAGCTGTGCAATCTGCCGAGCCACTCCGCGGCCTGACAGACTCTGCGCTCGCAGGCCTCAGCAAAAAGCTCCTGCTCTACGTCTAGGGCCCACAGCTGGGCTCCCGCTTTGGCCCACTGATCGGCTAACCTGTTACCCTTGAGCACCCACAAATCCTCGAGAGAGGTCGCCTCTCGAAGAGCTCTGTGAGCCTTGACTTTTACTACTCGCGCTGTGCCGCCAACTTTAGACCACCACAGCCTCCACATGTGTCTCCGACTGTTCTCGGGCGACAGGGCGGTGGACGAGGAGGTGGCACAGGCAACCGAACCAGCACAATCACTGAAGACTTCAAGAGGCACCCCAGAGTCTCCCTCACATGGGGGCTCACTAAATCTGGAGGAGGGGCAGGAGGAGGAGGGGCAGGAGGAGGAGGACGAAGAGGAGGAGACGGAGACGGATATGGCGGAGGAGGAGGAAGAGGATGATGATGATGAAAATGCTGATGATGATGATGATGATGATTATGATGATGATGATGATGTTGATGATGATGCTGATGATGCTGATGATGATGATGCTGATGCTGATGCTAATGCTTCTGATGATGATGCTGCTGATGATGCTGCCGCTGCTGCTGATGATGCTGGTGATGATGCAGACGATGATGCTGCTGCTGATGATGATGATGATGATGATGATGATGATGATGACGATGATGATGATGATGATGATGATGATGATGATGATGATGATGATGATGATGCTGATGATGATGATGATGATGATGATGTTGATGCTGCTGCTGATGATGCTGACGATGCTGCTGCTGATGATGATGATGATGTTGACGAGGAGGAGGAGTAGGAGGAGGAGGAGGAGAATGAGGTGGAGGAAGAGGAAGGGATGAGGGGGAGGAAGAGGGCGCAATCCGTAGCTCGGGTTCAACCCAGGAGGAAGAGGAGGAAGAGGATGAAGGCGGAGGAGTAGGAGGAGGAACAGGATAAGGTCGAGAGGAGGAGGAGGAGGAGGAGGAGGAGGAGGAGGAGGAGGAGGAGGAGGAGGAGCATGAGGAGGTAGGAGGAGGCAGGAGGAGGACGGGGTAGGCAGGAGGAGGAGGAGGAGGGGGGAGGAGAACACGAAGGGAGACGACGGGGCGGAGTCTAGGGGGAGGAGAAGGCAGGAGTGAGGACGCGAGGACGAGGAGGAGGAGGAGGAGGAGGAGGAGGCGGAGGAGGAGGAGGAGGAGAAGGAGAAGCAGGCTAATTCGCAGCCGTGATTCAAGCCAGGACTTCGGACGGGAGGAGGGGGGAGGAGGAAGGGGGGGAAGAGGAGGGGGAAGAGAACTTGATGTGATATGGCGCTAGGGCGCATTAGTCCCATTAGTTGGCCCAGTTTCCTGAAGTCACCACCCTGAAGGGCACGGTGGCCCGATGGTACGAATAGCCTGGGGGTGTGGTCCAGACCGTACGGAATGAGGGCGTTCTGGGCTGGGAGCCTGCCAGAGTCGCAGGAATGCCGCAATATGGTCCCAAGAGGGCCCCTAGGGCAGTCACAGGATGGCTCACACGTGGAATCAACAATGTAGATCTTCGTGTTGGAACCTGCCAGAGCAGCAGGAAGGACTCCAAAGGATTCCAAGGGACCCCAAGTCGGGGTCAAGATGACCCACAAGGTAGATCTAGAGCATCGAATTAGCTCGTTGAGAAGGGGTCGCTCCCGAATTATTTTGGGCCTCGCAATCTAGGGGATGTGATCACCCTGGTCTTTGCAATTTGCGATTCGTACAGCTGAACGTTGGCGCGCAACGGACTCATCAGAGAATTTATTGATCGAGTACGGGCGTGCGTGCAGCACGCGTCCGAATCCCACAGAAGCGACGCGGTAGATGTAGCAGAAAGTGTGGGTTACACTTGAGAGCTACACGCGGCATTGCTGTGGTTTCAAAAGCTGGGGACTTGTGGTTCGGCTCTGTTATCGGTCACGCGTCCGGGACAGAGATAGATCAAAGTTTGGGCATGTTCTCTTATCAGCCACGCGGCCGGGACAGAGATCAACAAAATATGGCCCCCCCTCTCGCAGGGGGATTGGGAAGGTGACGAACGGAGCAACCAAGATGGCACGAAGTTTGGTGCCGCGCCATCCTTCCGAGGATGGGCTGGCACCCCCTCAGACTACGTGCATGTGCCTGCGGATGGGCCCTTCACGCCCAAACGCTGTCTTGCGCACGTGGCCGCAGTTCCGCCTCCCGTCGGCCATTCAAGATCCTTGAGAGGGGGCGCTGTAGCAGTTTTAGGTAGAGTAACTAAGGTGGGATTCACGGGGTAGATTCCCAGAGGCTTACCTGTGAACTTTATTGCCCAGCTGTGCGACCGACTGGGCATAGGGGCGGTGCTGGTCTCAGATTGCCCCGAAGCTGAAACGGACAATGTTTCTGGCACGATCGGTACGATAGGGAATCCTCAGGAATTGTGTGTTCGGCACGATTGGGGATTTTCAGACGGTTGTCTTCCAATGGGGCACTTCCCGCGATGAACATATGTTTTTATATGGGGCCGATGTAGAGGGGCTTGGAGGGAGGGTTGATTGGAACATAGTTGATGCGTCTTGGGACGTATATTGGTTCACCTCCTCCCCCTCTTCAGGCGGGCAAGCGGAAGTCGACGGCCTTCAAGGCGATCTGGGAATTGTACGCCAACAATAAGCTTGTCGACGGCCTGCCGAAGCACGACCCAGGGCAGCACAGCTCCGACTTCCTCGAGGGGTTCTTCTCGTCGTCGTTGGGCGATGACGCTGCTGCTGATGATGATGCTGATGATGATGGTGATGATGATGATGATGATGATGCTGATGATGATGATGATGATGATGGATGGATGGACGGATGGATGGATGGATGGATGGATGGATGGATGGATGGTGGTGATGGTGACGATGATCATGCTGACGATGATCCTGGTGGTGGCGATGGTGATGATGATGTCGATGATGCTGACGATGACGGGATGGAGGATGACAATGGCCAGTACCAGGCTGACGATGCGGACGATCGTCACCATTGTAATGTGGTTGAAAATATGATGGCGGTGATGCTGCCTTTGATGTATACTATGGCCACGCCCATGACAGCGATACTCCTGGTCGGTGCAACGAGGATGCTGCCGACAGGTGTCAATCGCGATGCAGATGATCACTACGGCGATGACGACGATCATCGTGTTGATGAGGATGCCGGTTTTGAGGATGATGATGACGATGCTGCTGCTGCAGATTATGATGATGATGATGCTGATGATGATGATGCTGATGATGATGATGATGATGATGATGATGATGATGATGATGATGCTGATGATGATGATGATGATGATGATGCAGATGATGCTGATGATGATGATGATGATGATGATGGTGGTGGTTCTGATGATGGCGATGCTGTTGATGACGTTGACGGTGACGACGGTAGTGACGATGCCGCTGATGATGGCACCGATGGTAACTATGTTGCTTCTGACGATGGTGGTGATGGTGATGAGGAGGAGGAGGATGAGGAGGGTGAGGATGCGGATGAGGATGACGATGATGATGGCCATTCTGATGATGCTGATGCTGCTGCTGATGATGATGATGGTGGTGATGATGATGGTGGTGATGATGATGATGATGATGATTGTGAACAATTCGATGCTAAGGTTCATGGTGGTGGTGGTGATGATGATGCTGCTGCTGTTGATGACGCTGCTGATGACGACGACGACGATACTGATGATGATGCTGATAGTGATGATGCTGCTGACGATGCTGCTGCTGATGATGATGCTGATGCTGATGAATCTGCTGATGCTGATGCTGATGATGGTGCTGCTGATGATGATTATATGGTGCTGCTGCTTATGATGATGCTGATGCTGCTGATGGTGATGATGATGATGACGCTGATGGGGATGATGAATATGCTGACGATGATGCTGATGATGACACTGATGAGGATTCGAACGATGCTGATGCCGATGATGCTGCTGCTGGTGCTGATGATGCTGATGGTGGTGTGGTGGTAATGTTGATGCTGCTGCTGATGATGCTGACGATGCTGCTGATGATGATGATGCTGATGCTGCTGCTGTTGACAATTCTGATTCTGCTGATGCTGATGCCACTGCTGCTGATGATGCTGCTGATGATGCTGCTGATGCTGACGATGCGGATGATGATGATGACGATGCTGCTGCTGATGATGATGCTGCTGATGATGCTGATGACGTCGACGACGACGATGATGGTGTTGATGATGCGGCTGCTGATGACGATGACGATGATGACAAACGGGCCTCTGGCAGCACAGCCCCGAGGACGGAAACGGAGGAGCAGGAGGAGGAGGATGATGAGGAGGAGGAGGAGGAGGAGGAGGAGTAATACGGGGTGGATAATGATTGTGCGATGCGAGCAGGAGCAGGTCATGAGCAGGAGCCAGCCTCGGTGCATTCTTTCATCGCGCACGGCCGATGTGCCCACTGGGTGGTGCAATATCGAAGACGCCTACGGCGAATCATCGCCCGCCCCCTGCCTTTCGGAAACGTCCACGCAGACAAATAGTTCGCCGAACTCTTGCCACGCTGGTAGACTATCTGCTCCCCCCAGCCGTTGTGGAACCCCTTGAGGGAACCCTTTGGGAGAAGAAGATACGTGAGGAGGACAAGGAGGACGCGGAGGATAAGGAGGACGAAGAGGAGGAGGAGGAGGATGAGGAGGAGGAGGGGGAGGGAAGGAGGAGGAGGAGGATGAGGAGGAGGATACTGAATCGGCGGAGGAGAAGGATGATGATGATGCTGCTGCTGATGATGATGATGCTGATGATGATGCTGATGATGATGTTGATGATGATGACGATGATGATGATGATGCTGATGATGATGATGCTGCTGATATTGATGATGATGATGCTGATGATACTGATGATGCTGATGATGATGCTGATGCTGCTGCTGATGATGATGCTGATGATGATGCTGCTGCTGATGATGATGATGATGATGATGATGATGAGGATGATGATGATGATGATGATGATGATGAAGATGATGCTGCTGCTGCTGCTGATGATGCTGCTGCTGCTGCTGCTGATGATGATGATGATGATGATGATGCTGATGCTGATGATGATGATGATGATGATGATGATGATGATGATGATGATGATGATGATGATGATGATGATGAGGAGGAGGAGGAGGAGGAGGAGGAGGAGGAGGAGGAGGGAGGAGGAGGAGGAGGAGGAGGAGGAGGAGGAGGAGGAGGAGGATATGGCGGAGGAGGAGGAGACGGAGAAATATGAAGAGGCCTCTTGAGGCCCTTAGAACCCTGCTGGGGACATCTGAATGGGCCCTTCGGGGCTTCCTGGAAACCTGTTGGGAGCCCCTGAAGGGCCTCTTGGGGGCCTCCTGGGGCCTCTTCAGGGCCTTTTGGGGGGTCTCTTGAGGGCCTCTTGGGGACCTCTATGGCACCTCCTAGGGTTCGGAGGCAGTCTTGGGGCTGTTCTAGGTCTATGAGGCGACCTTGGAGCGTCGGAAGCCCGAAAAGGTCAGCACGATCGACTTCTTTTACATAACCAAGGGAGCATCAATGCCTTGGCCTCCTGTAGGAGGTCGTGGAGTTTCTCTGGGATGCCTCCTGGACCGTCTTGGAGGCCTCTTGGGCCGTCTTGGGCCATCTTGAGGCCATCTTGAGCCACATGAGGGCCGTCTCGGGCTGTCTTGGAAACATCTTGGGCTCTCTTGGGGCCATCTGAGTCGTCTTGGGCGAACTTGGGGGCCTTCTTGGGCCGTCTTGGCCGTTTCGGAGGCGGACGTTGTGCAGATTTCTTCTCGTCTTGGACACGCTGGCGCGTCAGACCGAGACTCCCACTGGGAGCCCCTTGGAAGGGCCAAAACAACTTGAGATTTAGCACGCCGTGCGCCCCTGTGCCCTCTGGCAGGCAAAGTGGGCGGCGGCTCTAGTGGCCTTCGGCCCATCCCGCCACCGTGCCTAGGTCATGGGCAAGATGCCAATGAGATGCCTCTTGGGGGCTCCCGGGCGGCGTCTTGTGAGCCTGCGGGTGTTATTCCCGTCGCTAGATGCCATGCGGTGCGCATGCGTCGATCTTGCATGCGGGTCTGGTTGCAGTCCCTGTCGTATGGGATTCCGCGGGCCACGCGCCCGCGCTGAGCGGGCACCATCCCTGCCAAAGAGCACCACGCGGGCCACAAGCGCACGCCAATCCTCGTCGACGCCGTAGGCAGCACGAGTATGCGCGCATGGCTCGGGCGAACACGTGGGATCTTGTCACGAGGTCCCATCGCTCACTGCAGTCACGGCTTCCGGTATGAAGGGGGAGATCCATGATACGAAGGGCTACGAATGACGGGGAGCTTTGTGATCGGGCGGGAGGGCGGGCCTCTCGGCACCAGCTAGACTCTAGCTAGACAATGTATTCTGCTCCTACTCCAGAGGTGCGTAGGCATACGTAGGACAGCATGGAAGCACACGTGACATTATATGCGTAGCCATCGGCGTAGCCATGGGTATGGCCGCAGGTGGATTCATAAGAACACGTAGGCGCAGCTATGGGAGGCCCATCGGTGTATCCAAGACCGGCCGTAGCTAGTTTTTGGCTCAAGCGCGTTTGGTTTCCAGTAGTTGCCGATCAAGGTTCTCTTGCTAAAGGGGCGTGTCTGAGGCTCGTGGTGACACAGCATGTACTCCACGGCGACACCATTGAGTTTCCGCGCGGCCGTGCAGTCCGAGAGGGTCGCATTCGCGGAGACGTTCTGGGGCAGGGCGTACCATGGCCGCCAGGGGCGGCCGCCCTTCGGGCCCGAATCGAGCACGCCTCTCGCGCGGTGCACCATGTTGACCGATCATCTTCTGCGCCAACCAGACGCGGGCGGTCGACGCGGCGCAGCCCACACGGAGCTCCGCGCGCGCGGCGCTGCCGAAGACGAGGAGGAGCACGACGACGACGACTCCGAGGACGAGAGCCTCTTCCCGCTGGAGATCCGGCTCTACCCCGACACGGACGACGAGGGCGAGCCGCATGTCCGGGCCGCGCGGGACGTCTGGCCGACCTCGCCGCCGGCACGTGGCTGTGGCCGCGCCCCCGCCGTGTCTGCGCCGCCGCCGGGTGCGCTCGGCGCGCGCCACCGCGGGGCCCCTGCGGCGACGGCGCCGCGGCGCCCGCCAGGGATCCGCGCAGCACCGGTGCGCGCGGAGCGCCGCGCTCCCATGGCGGCCGAGGCGGGCGGGGCGGCAGCGGAGCGCCGCGCTGGCTGGCCGCGGGCCGACGTGCGCGGCGCGCTCGTCTTCGCCCCAGGCGCCGGGACGCGGCTCTGAGCGTCTCCCGGCGCCGTCTTCTGCCCGCGTTGGGCACTGCTTGGGGGCCCGTCTCGAGCTGTCGCAGCTGACCGCAACTTGCTGTTGAGCCAGACTGGCCACGCCGACAGCTCGGAGCGGGTAGTCCGATGGCTCGGTCGCTGAGCTTTCGCCCGTCGCCATGGTTCGCGAACGGCACAACATAGTAGAAGTTCAGCACGTGCGCACCGGTCCCAGACACCCGATGTCTTGAGCTTCTCAATGCAGTGTTCCCGGAGGTCTGGACCTTTTCCCCATGGGCCGGCTTTGCGTCCCGAGTCGTTTTTTTGGGCTGCAGGGCCCAGCGAGGGTACCCCAGAGGCTCAGAACGGTCAGACATTGCCGTGCCGAGTTTCTCAAGACTCCGCAGGTCTGGGGTGTGCAGTGATCAGGGGCAACGATGCGGGGGGATAGACATAGGGGGGATGCATCGACCCCCAATCGCCCATTGATCGCCGATAGGGGCCCGATAACCCCAGCCTGCCCAGGAATGCGTGGATTCACTATCGGGGGCCTATCGCCGATCTACCGGCGATATATCGCCGATTCCAGGTCGATGTTCACCCCCTATCCCTATCCCCCCTGTCGTTGCCCCTCATGTTTACGGTGAAAGCACGAGCTGACACTGTGCAGCGCGACGCGTCACTAATCTCGAGAGCTGCAGGCCGCTCTGTGGCGTAGAGCGCCGCGGAGCCGATGGTCTGGGCACAACAAAGAACCACCACATTTAAGTGGACTTTTCGGGAGGGCCCCTCAGGGGAGAACCCACCGACCTCGACATGAGCACTGGTTGTGGTTGTGGTCGATTGGGTCGTCCTGAGCCGCCACATCGACCACAGCCAGTATGAAGCTACGGTGTTCCGACATGTTTTGGCATGTGTAGTACATCCATCGGGGTTTGTCCTCGATGTGCTTGTGGTCCGGTTGCTTATTTTCCCCGCAGGTGGCCGCGAGATTTTGGGGCGGAGGCGTCGGCACCGCGAGCACGTTTGCCGCGTGGAGCAGCAACAGCAGCAACATCAGCAGCGCATCTGAGGTAAACGGTCAACAGGGTGCCGATGCCGCTACACTTGCCCCGTCTTCGCCTTTTTGGGCCTCCTGGGAGGCCGTCGCCACGGCTGGATCCGCCTCAAGCTATCGGTCCGGGGTTGAAGGAGAACAAATAACATACAAATATGCATTTTCGGCGGTCCGCGCGGACGGCGTGACGAAAACACCACGGCGAGCACGGGGCGTGCGCGCGCTGCTCGCGCAGGGCGTTGCATTTTGGAAACCCTGGCAGGCTCACCACTTTGCTGCCGTCCTTCCCAGGCGCATCTGATGTTTGACGCTTTGCGTGTCCCCACCTGACAGGGTCCATCTCGATCCATTCGATCCGGCTCGATATCGATTTCGCTCGGCTCGGTCCGATTCGGTTTCAATAGTCGTGCAATCCGATGCGGCCCGACGCTGGCGTGGCGCTGTTGTGCATCCTGGCGCCGACGATTCGATTCGATCCCGACCCTGTGCCGATGCGGACCAATTCAATGCACGTTCCGATCCGATCCAGTTCCCCGCTTCGATGTCGACTGCTCCTGCTAGGCCATCCAAACACGATCCCTGGGCGAGCTGCCCTGGTGGGGGGTGTCTCATGCAGAGGAACAACGAGGTGCCGCAGCCGGCAAGCCGAAGTTCGCGATCATCTGGATGATGCCCAGGAGTTGTCCATATATCTTGGGCCGCTTCGGGGACATCTGAGGCCGTCTTCCCAGCGTCTTGGACAGTCGTGGCGGCCTCAGTTGCCCGCCTCGGCTATCTCGGGAAGCTCTCGAGCGCGGGCCCACTTGTGCTCGAGGGCTCGAGACCTCGGGGGCGCGGATCCATCGTTTTTGACAGGGATCGTGACCTCGGGAGCGCGGACCAATAGTTGTTTCACGAGGGATCGTTGCCTCTGGAGGGCATCGGGATCACATATCCTCTGCTTCTGCAAGGGGTCGCGGCCTCGGGAGGGGGGGGAGATGCGAGCGGCTGTCCGCGATGAGAAGGCGGGGGCCCTGAGAAGATTCCAGAAGCCCTTGGCATCCTACCAGTGGTGGATCTATCGGAGGTTGGTGAGTGAGACCGCAGTTGAAGGGAGAGCGCCCCGCCGGGAAGTCGGTCTCGGTTTCGTGTTCGTGTCGTGCGGGCGAGGCGAAGCTGCGTGGACGCGCGAGAGGGGTGACCCCTCCGTCGCCAGGGCGATTTAGATGCAGTGGACCGCCCCTCCGCCCCCGGTGGGCGCGCGGTGGCCCAGGGTCTCCCGCCGTGGTGTCCTGTGGTGTCCCGTTGGTGTCCCGTTGGTGTCCCGTTGGTGTCCCGTCAGTGCTCTGTCGGTGCTGGGCGGGCGGTGGTTGGGGGTGTCCCCACTTGCATCGATAGTGAAGCCGATAGTGAGATCGACAATGAGATCGCTCGAATGGGATGGATCGTGAGATCAAAAGTGAGATCGACAGTGAGGTCGATTGCGACATTGGTTGTGAGATCGATCGTGAAATCGATCGTGAGGTCGATAGAGGAATCGATACAGAGATCGATAGAGAAATCGAACGCCAGATCTATATTGAGATGTATAGTGAGATCGATAGTGAGATCTATATTGAGATCGACCGAGTGGTAGTTCGATGATGGGATCGATCAGTCGGAATGCCTTCTAAGGCCGCCTTGGGTCCCACGGGGAGCCCTCTTGGACCGTTTTGGGGCTGTCTTGGATGCCTGTTTGGCCGTTGTAGGACCTCTTTGGTAATCTTGGGGCCCTCTTGCTGGCCTCTGGGGCCGTCTTGGGGCCTTCGTGGAGGCTTCTTGGGCCGTCTTGAGTTGGTGGAAGCCCGAAAAGTAGAGCCCATCATTTTTCCCCAATTAGGCTTGCCTAAGGGGTTCTTACTTGGTCAGAGGTTGGCGCCTCGGAATGTTACTTTGCCCGTTCCTCGGAGATTCCTCGGGTTCCTCGGGTTTCCCGCCCCCCAGTGCCTCCTATTGTTACGTTGCCTGTTTCCAGGTTCCTCGGGTTCCTCGGGTTTCTGGGGTTCCCCGCCCCCAGTGTTTCCTATTTTTACGATGCCCGTTCCTGGGAGGTTCGTCGGGTTCCCCGGGTCCCTCGGGAGGGTTCCTCGGGTTCACCGCCCGCGGTTACCAAGGGAAGGTTGGGGACAAGTATGTCACGTACAGCGCTGTATAGTCACAGTCGACAGACTTCGAAATTATCTGTGGCCGTTCCCTGGGAGATACCATGTTTAGCCTTGACTGTATTTCTCTTCCGGTGGGCTATCGTGATCTCAAGATGGCCCCAATATCGCCTCACAGAGCCACGGCGCGGGCGCAGGAGTGGCCCCAGACGACCCCGCGCGACCGTAGAGGCCCCTGAGATGACCCTGCAGCTCCAAGGGGGTCCCAAGAGGGCCCCGAGCCCTTCCAACTCTCGAACAAGCTCGCGACGTCAATCGCCCTTGGCGCTCCATAGGGCCCACAGCGGCCCCAGCATGATTACGGGCGCCTCCCAGCGGAGCCCCGATAGGGCCTCCCCGGGAGCACCCCGAATGATTTTCAAAACGCATCCTAAGAGGTCCACCCCGTCCCCCGAGGCTTTCAAATCCGACGCTTCGCGCAAGAGCGGCTTTCATCCGTGCCTCGCCCTTCTCTGCGCGATTGTCCTGCGGGCGCCCGCCGCGCCGCGCTGCCAGCCGCGCGTCCAGCCCGCGGGCGGGAGGCGGGAAGTGTCGGGTCGGGAGATTGGCAGCGGCACCCCCGAAGAGGAAGAAGGGGGTCTAAAGAGGAAGCGACCCAAGCCACCCGAGTCCACGCGGCTGGCGGGAGTCTTGGAAGGCGGCTCGCCCCCCGCAGTCGAGTGTGATGTCGGGCTCGCTTTGTTCCGTGCGGGATGCAGTTTGAGGGCGCGACGCGATCCGAATAACCCGCGGAACAAAGCGTGCGTGACGCGCGATGTCGCTGCGCAGCACCTCGATTGGGAGCGTTTGACGCCCCCTGTGGCAAGTTTGGCAATCCTTCCTGGCGTTCTGGCCCAGCCCGGATCGTGAGTGGACGTCCCGCAAGTCCGGGCATCCATCGGCTTTGGTTTTTTTTTTCCCTCGTCCCCGACGCGGCTTCCACTTCGCTGCGTGCCTGCCGCGGATCAGCGGTCGACTGTGAAACCAGCTGTTGGAGGCTCTGGAGACGCAGTCGGCTCCAACGTGGCCCCAGCCTGATGTGGGTCGCGATGTTTTTTTTCTTGAGTGCCGAGTGGCATGGGGATCACGCGTGCTTCGTTCGTCGGAGCAACATGACTGAGGACCCGCCATATTGGTCGAGGGGGAGGAGAAGAAGGAGGGGCAGCATCCGTCCGCGGCGCTTGGCGAGCCGCCTCAGCTCGCTGCGCTGCCCTCCTTGCTCGTCCGGTGAAGTTGCTCGCCCTCGCCGCGCCTGTGGCTCCGCAGGCGAGGCAGGCGACCGCGGCCAGCTCCCCAGTCCTGGCCGCGTCGCGCACGGGCCGCGCCAGCCCGAGGTGGTGTGCGGCCTTCTGTTCGGTCCATCGGCACCTGGAGCACCTGCGCTGGCCCTCGGCGCCCCTGAGCTCGCGCTCCAGCTTCGCCACCGCGGGCGCCAGAGCCTTCTTGGGGGCCGGCTTGTGCGGCTTGACTTCGCGAGGAGCTGACGGCAGCGCCAGCCGCGGAGACCCGCGGCGCCACGCCCTCGATCATTTTGTGCGATGCCGCCAGCCGCTGTCGATCAGCAGTAGCCAGTCGAGCATGAGCACGGAGGGCCGGCGATCTAGATTTTTGCCCGTGTGTGTACGGAGCCACGGGTTTGGCTACAGCAAAAACGTAAGTTGATTGGATGTTTAGCGACGCGTTGCCCATCTTCCGAGTGGCCACTCGCTTGCTAGCGCGGAGCGCAGCAAATGGTAGACATGATAGGTAGAGCCGACATTTTACAACCTTCGGGAGGTCGCTGCACGCGAACAGTACCCAGAGTAGCAGATCGCTAACCGCCAGCAGTGCCAACTGGAAACGCGCGGCAATCGTGACGCCGACGATCAAGAGCAGGACGACGCCGCTGACGACGGCGACGCCGCTGATCACCATGATGAATTCCGCGCCCTTGATCGGGCAACCGATAGACCGTCGAAGACGCTGACGACGGCGCTGACGACCACGACGGACCGGGCAGCCGATGGGCCGCCGAGGAGCCGCGCGAGTGGCCGCACGAGGGGCCGCAGCGCGGGTCGTCGTCGTCTCCGTCGCCGCAGCCGTCAATGTCGCAGTCGTCGCATTGCGTCATCGTCGTCGTCGTCGTCGTCGTCGTCGGTTGTCGTCGTCGTCGTCGTCGTCGTCGTCGTCGTCGTCGTTGGTTGTCGTCGGTTTTCGTCGTCGGTTGTCGTCGGTTGTCGTCGTCGTCGTCGTCGTCGTCTTCATCGTCGTCGTCGTTGGTTATCGTCGTCGTCGTCGTCGTCGTCGTCGTCATCGTCGTCGTCGTCGTCGTCGTTGGTTGTCGTCGTCGTCGTCGTCGGTTATCGTCGTCGTCGTCATCGTCGTTGTCGTCGTCGGTTGTCGTCGTCGCCGGTTTTTCGTCGTCGGTTGTCGTCGTCGTCGTCATCTTCGTCGTCGTCGTTGGATGTCGTTGTCGTCGTCGTCGTCGTCGTCGTCGTCGTCGTCGTTGGTTGTCGTCGTCGGTTGTCGGCGTCGTCGTCGTCGTCGTCGTCATCGTCGTTGGTTGTCGTTGTCGTCGGTCGTGGTGGTCGTCCAGGTTCTTCGGGTTCATTGGCGACCTGGCCATCGGCAGCCCCTCCGCCGCCCTCGCGGCGGCGGGTGGTTGCGGCCTAGGCGGCGGCCTAGGCGGCGGCCTAGGCGGCGGCCTGGGCGGCGGCATGGGCGGCGGCATGGGCTTCTCGGGAGGCTCCTCCGCCCCGTCGTTGTCGTCGCTGGCTTTTTTTTCTTTTTCCCAAACAGTGCTTGTACTAAGGGGTTCTCTCTTCTGCTATCAGAAACTGGGCCTGTCTGCTAGTCTGACGGCTATGTTGCTGCCGTCGCTGCCTCGTCGCCGCCTCGTCGCCGCACGAAACACACACATATATATATGTATATATATACATATATAGATACACACAGATACATACAAATGGGTAGGAGGTCCCCGTGCCTCACAAGTGCACTCATTTGTCTTCCGGCCGTTTCGGGTCCGGCGGGGAGCGCAAAAAAACTTCAAAGGGGGCCGAGAGACGTCCAAGAGGGCGCCAAGATGGCCCAAGAGCGCTCCAAGCGAGCCCAAGACCGCAGAAGATCGTGTCAGAATTGGTCCAACATGGCTTGAAGACAACCCAAGAGGGCTTCATGACGGCCAAGATGCCCACAAAAGGACTCCCACGAGGCCATCAGGAGGCGAAACAAGTAGGTTTCCTCAAGGGTTTTTGAAGGTTTTTCGTGTTCTCGCTTTTCCGTGCTTCCGACGGTCCAAGACAGCCCGCGAGGCTTCAGAAATCAGCTCAAGACGGCTCAAGAGGCACCCAAAGAGGGCGCCACGACGGCGCAAGAGAGTCCCAAGACGGCCCACGAGTGCCCCAAAACGGCCCAAGAGGCGCCCACGATCGCCTAAGAGGGCCCCAAGACGGCCCCAAGAGGGGGAACACGAACCGACAATTCGAGCCTTCCGCCCCAAGAGGCCTCCAGGAGGCCCCAAGAGGCCCCAACAGAGCCCAAGAGGCCCCCCAGAGGCCCCACGAGGCTCCAAAGAGGCCCAAAAGGACGCCACACGAGCACCCCAAACGGCCCCCAAGAGGCCTCCCAAACTGCCTTCAAGAGGCCCCCGGGAAGCCTGCCACGAATTCCAAACGAACTTCCAATATGACTTTAGCCCACAACCCAGGCACGGTGGCGGGATGGGCCGACGGCCACTTATCGGGAACGTGAACCGAGAACCCAATATCGTTGCCCCAGGAACCCCCCAGGAGGGGTCAAGAGGTCCCAAAGAAGCTTGGCGACAGATCACCGGTCGACCAGTCGATGAGAGCGGAGGAGGAGGAATGAGGAAGAGGCAAGAGAAAACATATTATGTGGACCTCACTATTCATGACCACCTTGTTGTCTCAATGCGGTCAGCACTCGACCAGCTAGAACCTAAGCGCGCGCGAAGCGCGCGCGATGGTTCTAATATACATATGTATGTATGTATGTATGTATGCATGTATGTATGTATGTATGTATGTATGTATGTATGTATGTATGTATGTATGTATGTGTGTGTGTATGTATGTACGTACGTACGTACGTAAATATGTACGTATGTACGTATGTACGTATGTACGTATGTACGTATGTACGTATGTACGTATGTACGTATGTACGTATGTACGTATGTATGTATGTATGTATGTATGTATGTAGGTGTATATATAGCCCTCCGCACGCACCAATAACTCCCTGTCTCCAGATTGCATATGCATTTTGATATATATATATATGATTTGTACGATCTTCGGACTTCATTTTGAGGCTCACTTTTGGAAGACTTTGTGGGCTCAAGTTCGAAGCGATGTTCACCCCCTGCAGCTGCAGCCGTTTCCACCAGCCCCGTCTCCAGCACACCATCCAGTAATCAACACCCTCCGTCCCCAACACAGCACCCGATACTCAACAGGCTCCCTCCCCAAGCTGAACGTCACAATAAGCTCTTACTCAAGTCCCTCCGTCTCCAACACACCATCCAGTACTCAACACCCTCCGTCCCCAACACAGCACCCGATACTCAACAGGCTATTTTCTCAATCTGAACTTGAAAATGACCTTTTACTCAACTCCCTCCGTTTCCACACCATCTAGTAATCAACACCCTCCGTCCCCAACACACCACCCGGTACTTGACAGGCTCCCTCCCCAAGCTGACCTTGAACATAACCTTCTACTCAACTCCCTCCGTCTCCAACACACCATCCAGTACTCAACACCCTCCGTCTCCAGCGCAGCACCCGATACTCAACAGTCTCCCTCCCCAAGCTGAACTTGAAAATAACCTTTTACTCAAGTTCCTCCGTCTCCAGCACACCATCCAGTACTCAACACCCTTCGTCTCCAACACAGCACCCGATACTCAACAGGCTCCCTCCCCAAGCTGAATCTGAAAATAACCTTTTAATCAACTCTCTCCGTCTCCAGCACACCATCCAGTAATCAACACCCTCCGTCCCCAACACAGCACCCGATACTCAACAGGCTACCTTCTCAAGCTGAACTTGAAAATAACCTTTTACTCAACTCCCTCCGTCTCCAGCACACCATCCAGTAATCAACACCCTCCGTCCCCAACACAGCACCCGATACTCAACAGGCTACCTTCTCAAGCTGAACTTGAAAATAACCTTTTACTCAACTCCCTCCGTCTCCAGCACACCATCCAGTAATCAACACCCTCCGTCCCCAACACAGCACCCGATACTCAACAGGCTACCTTCTCAAGCTGAACTTGAAAATAACCTTTTACTCAACTCCCTCCGTCTCCAGCACACCATCCAGTACTCAACACCCTTCGTGTCCAGCATTGCTCCCGATACTCCGCAGCTTTCTTCTCCATCACGCAACCAACAATTATGTGACATTTCTTCCTTCACGGTTGCCGCGCCCGCCTTCCGCTCCCCTTTTCTCTTGGCATCTATATATTCCTCTTCCTATATTTTTATAAGCCCGGGCGGGGGGACCCCCCCCCCCAAAACCGGGTTCCCGGGACCTGGGGGGCTTCGGGACCCTCTGGACGGGCCTCGAAGCGGCCACTGGGCCTCGCAGGGCGTTTTGCCAAGCCTTCCCAGCACACCTAGGGCGATCAGGGGGTCATCGGAGACGTCTCGGAGAGACAGCACGTGAAGAGCGCTCCAAGAGTGACCGACGTGACCTCAAGATGGCCCAAGAGGCCTCCAGGACGGCCCCGAAGAGGCCTTCAAGAGCACTCCCAAGAAGGCCCCCCCAAGGCAAAAATCATTGATTTTCTTTTGGTTTTCGGTGAATTTTGGGGTTCTCCTCTTTTCGGCTTCCCGACGCTCCAAGACGGCGGTCTTCTGGGCGTCAGAAGCCGCCTGGGAGGCTCCCAAGTCGCCCCACAACCATCCGAAAGGGCTTCCAGGCAGTCCAGGAAGAGCCCCCAAACGGCACAACACGAGTCCAAGATGGCCTTCAGAGAGCCCCATGGCGGCCCAAAATGGCCCAAAGACGCCCTCCGAAGAATTCCAAATCGTGATTCGGTCGTTCAGGGAGAGAGGCAGGGTGGCCCGAGGAAGCCCCCGGAGGCCCCCAAAATACGCCTAGGAGGCCTCCAGAAAGCCTCAAGAAAGCCTGAAACAACTTTGCGAGGACCCTAGAGGCTCTCCAAGGAGGAACCTCCGCAAAAAAGAGCTGCGGAGGATGCGGAGACTGCGCAGGCTATGGCGAACAGAAGAGAAAGAAGTATGGAGGAAGGATGACGAACAACATTATTATAGCGGCGATTGCGGAAAAGGCAACCAAGAGTTATCGCTAAATTGTCGGCTTGGCCTTCCTGTTATTCCGCCTGCGTACCAAACTTCAAGGACCAAGGCGCATGGCGCGAAGCGCCACTGCAGTCTTGTGTATATATCGGAGGTTGGGGGGTGAGATCGAAGTGGAACGGAGAGCCCCCCACTGGGAAATCGGTTTCGGTTTCGTGTTCGTGTCGTGCGTGCGGGCGAGGCGAAGCTGCGTGCGCGGGCGAGAGAAATTCATTCTGCTGTCGTTAGTGGTTCGCCAACATAAATGTTTCCCCCGCCGGCGCGTGTCAAGCGGTGGCCCGCATTGTCCCGTCGGTTGCCCGCCGTTGTCCTGTCTGTCGCTAGTGGTTCGCCAACATAAATGTTTCCCCCGCCGGCGCGTGTCAAGCGGTGGCCCGCATTGTCCCGTCGGTTGCCCGCCGTTGTCCTGTCTGTCGCTAGTGGTTCGCCAACATACATGTTTCCCCCGCCGGCGCGTGTCAAGCGGTGGCCCGCATTGTCCCGTTGGTTGCCCGCCGTTGTCCTGTCTGTCGCTAGTGGTTCGCCAACGTAAATGTTTCCCCCGCCGGCGCGTGTCAAGCGGTGGCCCGCACTGTCCCGTCGGTTGCCCGCCGTTGTCCTGTCTGTCGCTAGTGGTTCGCCAACATAAATGTTTCCCCCGCCGGCGCGTGTCAAGTGGTATCCCGCTTTGTCCCGTCGGTCGCCCGCCGTTGTCTTGTCTGTCGCTAGTGGTTCGCCAACATACATGTTTCCCCCGCCAGCGCGTGTCAAGCGGTGGCCCGCATTGTCCCGTCGGTCGCCCGCCGTTGTCCTGTCGTGGGATCGATAGTGAGATCGACAGTGAGATCGATCGTGAAATTGATAGTGACTCCGAAAGTGAGATCGATAGTGAGACCGAATGTGAGACCGAATGCTGGATCGATAGTGAGATCGGTAGTGAGATCGATCGTGAGATCGATCGTGCAATTGTTAGTGGCACCGAAAGTGAGATTGATTGTGAGATCGTATGCGAGATCGATAGTGGGATCGATCGTGAGATCGGTTGTGAGATCGATTGTGAGATCGATAATGAGATCGATGGTGAGATCGATAGTGAGACCGATTATGAGATCGATTGAAAGATCGAGCCCGCATTGTCCCGTCGGTGGCCCGTCGGTGTCCTGTCGTGAGATCGATAGTGAGATCGATCGTGAGATCGATAGTGAGACCGATAGTGACATCGATAGTGAGATCGATAGTGAGACCGAATGTGAGATCGTTTGTGACATCGATTGTGATATCGATTGAGATCGATAGTGAGACCGAATGTGAGATCGATAGTGAGATCGATAGTGAGATATATTGTGAGATCCGTAGTCTGATAGTGGGATCGATAGTGAGATCGATGGTGAGATCGATAGTGACATCGAT